ACACACACACACACACTCACACACACACACTCACACACACACACACACACACACACTCACACACACACACTCACACACACACACTCACACACACACACGTAGAAAGAAGATAATATACAATGGGATGTCTGAGGAGGTTGGGGAAGAGCTAGCATCATGTTGGTCTTTCCGCCCCACTACATCTAGTTCCCCTCGTCTCAGATCGACTATCTATGCGCCTTGCAGCTGCTAGACCTTGAGGGAAGAAGCAGGGGACACCACGGCACAGAGCCCCTCTAGTTTGATTTACACCCCCTTACATTTCATTTGGAGTCATCCCCACTCTCTGTCGGAGCCTTGAAAGTGAGCGAAATGCTATTCACACAGTGCCTTTCGTTCGTCGGCGTTGGGAACCCTTCCCCCTTGAAAACATGTCCGAGATGACCCCCACATGCGGCGCATGTGATCTCGATCCGATAACCATCCGCATCGACCGTCCGATTGATGGCGCCGGGCAAGCCTTCGTAGAAGGCGGGCCAGCCGCAGCCGGAATCGAACTTGGTAGTGGACTTGTAGAGCGGCGTTCCACACCCCGCACACTCGTATACCCCTTCCTCATAAAACTTGTTGTATTTGCCGGTGCCCGGGTACTCCGTGCCTTTTTTCCTCAGAATGCGAAACTGCTCCGGAGAAAGGACCGCACGCCATTCATCCTCGCTCTTCTGCACAGCCACGCCTTGTTGCGACGATGCTTGCCCCGCGCTCGCATCCATGAAGCGCCCGCCGCCTCCAGCTGCTCCCATCGCTCTGCTTACGATCGACACCCCCGCATTACCCCGGAAGGCGCTCGGACCGCCTGCTCGACCAGTCGAGCTGAACGACACCGGCTGTGCGCAAGAGGATGCAGAGCACCTCGGTGGATGCACAGCTCCTCTTCTCGCAACGGAGACGACGTGCCCCACAGCCGCGACCGCTCTCGACTCAGTTTGCGATGGAAGGGTTGGGGTATGCGTCAACCTCCTCCCGTCCACTCCTGCGCGGCAAGGCCCTCGTCCAACTGAAAGCAGCATCACTCTGTTGCGTTTCCGACCACCACCAACTGAAAAGACTCCAGACGGGCCCCTATCGCTGCAAGTCACCCAGCAGCGCTGGACTGGAGACAACGCTGCTCCCGAATTCGCCCCCAACACAGCCGCTACCCTTGCCGTCAACACCATCGCCTTCTTCGCTCTCTCCACAGTCGCTGCAGTTATAGGCAAAATGACACCACCTTATCTGCAGCAAGCCTGCACGAGAGGGGGAGTCCAAATACAACACAGGGTGGGCACAGTTATTTTACGCAATGCTAATGGAGGGGACGGCAAGTTTGTTTCTTTTCTTTTTTTCGCCAAAGGCAAAGTTTTCTTTTCTTTCTCCCTGCCGCAGTTATCAAGACAAAAGGCAAGTTTTCTTTTTTATCAGACAAAAGGCAAGTTTCCTTTTCTTTCTCCCTGGCAATCAAGAGAAAGACAGACAGACATACACAGAGAGAG